TCAATATCGCCAAAGAAGTTTAGAATTATTTCTCTTAGATCCTATAGTTGTTTTTAAGGCATGTTAAGTGCCTGCAATGGAAATGCACTGTGTTTACTTTAGACAGAAGGTTCAGAAATTGGAGAATAACTGGCCTAGAGGGAATGTCACCAACTCAATCTAAAAAAAGCCACAGATATCTTGGGATGGCACTGCTGTTTAAGAATCGTTGCCAACAAGCTCCATTCAGGAGATCTGATGCAATGTCACAACCTAATTCATTCAGCTTTATAAAACTCTAGTATATTGGAAGTAAATACCTGTTGATGCCAAAGAACAGAAAATAATGTGACGTTGCCAAAGAACACATTCAAGCCTTTCCCTACTGGTCAGACATGGAAGGTGAACAGCTAAAAATTAACTAAATAATGTAATAATTATCAGGGGAAATTAAGACTCTCATAATGAATGGAATAACAGAATGTGAAATGTTTCAAGGTAACTTGTAATAAACAGCATTTGATGAGGAGTTATGGAACATAAAAAAAGAGGTCCAAGAAGAAGCTGAAAAGTAAAAGCAAAGAATAAAGAAGAGGAATTAAGAAAATGGTATTTAAAGAGATGAGCTTAATACTGAAAGGCAGAAAGACAGTTAGATCCTGCTTAACAACAAACACACAGATGCATACATACACATGCACACAAACATGCACAAAGATTTTTGAAAAAATACTTAAATTCAGCTATTCTCGATTTAACTCTCCTCTCGGTTTAACTCTCCACTTTTTCCATGAAAAACTTTATACTGCTCAGGCCTACAAAGACCTCTCTACTTCATGGTCTTTTTTCTGTACTTAGAGATTCAATCTTGCTCCTGACTTGCATTGTTTATTTTGCATCATTATATAAAAGTCATATTCCAACTAGACTGTAAGTTGGAATCAATTTCCCTATTCCTTGAATTTGGGCTGGCCCTGTCTGTGACCAGCTCTAGCCAACAGAATGCTGAAGAAGTGATATTTCAAGTGTAGACCTCAAGAGGTTTTCACGTTTCCTCTTGCTTTCCCGGAAGCCTGCCAGGATGCCATGTGGAGAAGCCTGGCTTGGGCTGTTGGTTAGAGAGAAATCACAAGGAGCAGAGAAGAGTCAGCTTAGCTAAGGCATCCTGGATCAGGCAGTCTGCAGCCACTCTAGTAGCTCATCTCAAAGTCTGATGAGCTCAGCTGAACCTATTTAGTCAGTAGAAACTTGAGCTAAATAAATGATTCCTGTTTTAAGCCAATATGTTGTGGGGTGATCTGTCATGCAGCATAAGCTGTTGAAATAACTGAAACATACACAATGGTTTTAGCCTTCCAATGAAATACTTACTCATAGTGTGCCTTATATTAGAATCAAGTATTTGCTGTTCACCTCTTTGCTATTAGAGTGTATTATATCCACTATGTATTCCCACAACACCTAAGTTGTAATTTGTTCATAGTAGGCACTCAGAGTTTGATAGACTGAAATGAAAATCAACTGAAGTTCAAATTCTGGTGTTCTTCGGCATTATTTACTTAAAGTTTAACAATAGAAGAAAATACCAACCACAGTACTGTCTGAGAATCAGATAACTACTGAGGACCTGCTAGTGGCCTTGCGTCGCTACTCTCAATTATGAACCATTAAGAGACAGCGACTTCTATTACCTAGAATATAAATGCTACTTCAAGACAGTTAATAAGTGAGCCCTTAGGCTGACCTTCTCAATACTTAAGATTAATCCAAATTTTGGATTTTAATAGAAATACCACACATTTGATACATGGATGTGAAATTGTACTGCAATCCTACTTTCATGAGCTTGGGAATACAGAAAATATAAAGTGTAAAAGGAGAAGATTTTGATTTGTACTAATTCCCACTAACAGGTGGTTTTCTAAACCCAGAAACCTGACAAATGACACATATATGTAAATATGCTTTAATTCTGAAGTGCTTTACAAATGTAAAAGATCATGAAATCCTGTGTATTCAGAATGTCATTTCACTTTTTTCCTTAAGAAGTAGAAAAATCAGAGTAGACAGAATGGCTCAGAAAGGATAAATAGTTTTGCTATCCACATCTAATTTGCTTCCTAATAAAATTCTACGGCTTTCAAATGACACTCGACTATTATAGTGTGTACAGAGATGATCTCATCAAATATTTTATGTTTTGAATATTTTCAAAATTATCATTCAGTTGATAGTGTGAAACACTCTAAAGCAAAAGGACATGAAAAGCATGATCAGCATGAATATATTCATAAACCAGTGAGCAAAATAAACTCAGTGACAGTAAGAGAACATCCTTGCTGCACTGAATGGGCACAAACCGCCCTTTTCCATGGGTGCATACATGTATCCTATAACGTGCTTTAACTTTAACTTCAGACATTTCTGATCAATACTGTTATCTTTGACTTATAAGGAACATAATGGTTAAATCAAGCTGTAAGGTGGATAACTGAGCCAAGACATTAAAGGTTTAGACAGGCTAAATAAATAATTAAATGACTAATTATTAAATAATGATTTAATGATTAAAATCTGGTTTGTTAATAAAATGTCTTAAAAGGAAAACACAGTCCAAAGAGAGCGAAACCTTCAGCTGTGGTATATAAAATCAACCACATAAGAACTAGATATAGAATGGGTAACAATGTCATGTATGAAAAAGATTCAGTTTCTAGCAGATGGAAGCTCCATAAATCAGGATACATTTACATGATTTTAAGATCAGCACCCAGCGTAGCCCCCAATTTCTGTAACTCTACTTTAGGATTCCAAAGAGTACAGGCAAAAGGACATATATTAAAGGACACCTAATCATGTCTTATTTGAAAACATACTTCCAGGCTTTCTATTTATAATCTGAACATCTCTTATACTTCATAAGCTGCTCCCTTTAAAAACAATGCTCACTTTAATTAATTTATGAGAATGACTAAGATGGACTACAAAGAGATATGCATTTTCAGCATGGGATGGGGAAAGATCATTTTTGTCACCCTGATTTAACCTACCTGAGGCCTGCTAGTAATGAGCTAGGGAAGTTTTTCATATGATCTAAGAATTTAAGCTGCCTTAATAGAGACAGACACAAATAGAAATTAAGTGATAGATTCAATAGGAAGAGGCATACTCTTTCCTGATTCAGTGAGTTTTAGAGTTTTTTCTACTACTAAAAATTTCATGCAAAGAACTCTGAGAACAAAAATGTAATAGAAAAGAGGAGCTTAAGCATAAACAACAGTGTTCACTGAGAACTCACAAGTATTTCAGCACTCATCCCGGCTCAGATCCACCTTATTTTGGCTGTGCTTTCTAACTTACTCCTTTAGTTAACATTTTCTGTGAACACTAGTTACTTTCCATAGGGACCAAAACCACAAACTTGAGAGAATGGCCACACTTCCTTTTCATGAACAGTGAGAAGAGAAAATTTTTTCCTTGGATGTGTTTTTCCAGTGAAATTCAATTTCTGCTTTCCAAGAAAAACCAACTGGCTCAGAAGTCTCTGAGAAGAAACAGTGAGGGGATACTCAAACAGATACCATACCACAAAACTCCAAAGCAAAATCCCAATCTTTCAGCCTTAACATCAAGTCAAAGGGTTAAAACCTGAACACCTCAGTTGACTTGCTGAATCCACAGGTGGAAGATCTAAAGGGTGAAAAGAGATACTCAGCTCCATTTGGGACCATGCTGAGAAAGCCTTTATGTTCCTCCACCTCAACTCCTAAATATTAAGTTGACACACGTTTCTGGGACGCGGCCTGAATCCTCAAACTTTGGTGGGTCTATAGAGACACAATTTTCTATTTTCTGCTTAACAGGGCTTTCCAGAATTGTCATCAGATGACAGATTACACCACCCATCCACAAGGATTCAGGGGTAGCTCAGGCCATCCATTATGGGTTAAAAGCTGTTCTAGCATGAATCGAGTCACAGTGGTAAGGAGACTACCAATACAAGGGGTCCTACAGCTTTAAGAAATACCCTGGGCATCTAAAAGTTTTCAGAATGCAAACTTTGTCAGCTCTGAAAACAAGAGGCACTGCATCATTATGGCAGGAGAAACAAAGCCAGCACCCTTTTAAAAACAGACAAAAAAAAAAAGATTGTTTTAATAGGAGAGAAGCATCAGTCATTGATTCTTACTTCATTCACACTTTCTATCCAACCCCATCCATCTTCAGAGTGAAGAGATGACAAAGCCCAGTTAACTCTCTCCCTCTTTCGGCCCCCACCCCTACTGCTCCTCTGTACCAAATCCACCAAGACCCACCAACCCGCCCTTTTCAATCTGCAAGCAACAGCTCTATAGAATGACTCTGTCTGATGGGCTTGCAAACCTCAGGTATACCTAAGTACCAGCTTTCATCACACTACTTTAGTAGGGTTACCTGTCAGGTTATCATGACTGGTTAGGGCCTTTAGTAATCATCTAAAATGACCACTCAGTCACTCAAGGCTGACCACATTCTACGAAGGTGGGGATGAGAAGACTTAAGGGAACAGAAAAAAAAAGTCAACAAACCAAACCAACAATCCAGAATGTAAAATATTTCATTTTCATTAACTGTTACTGCCCTCATTATCTGCACACAAAGGTTCTCTAAGCAGGCAGTCTCTGCATCGGTGCACCTGCCTAGCATCAGTTTGCCGAGTTATCTTTTCTGCTGTGTCTGCAAAAGCCAACTACAGCACAATGGGTCACATCACTTGAGGGTCACTTGAGTCCCGCTATATTCTGGGGCCCTCCTTCCACCTCCTCCCTTTCCTTCCATCCACAAAACCTTTAACTCCACCATAGCTAAGGATCCCAGATAGCTAAATAAAAGAGGTGGCCTCAAACACAGGGAAAAGCCCTTAGGTCTCCAGTGTGAATCGCCAATGCCAACGCCCCTCCCCTCTCCTTTTCCTTAAGACCTGATGGTCTTCAGTCACACATCTTAAAAGAAAAACAAAAAACAAAAACACAAAGACTTACTTGTCTCAAGTCGATGAAGGCCAACTGCAGCGTGTCCTCCTGGAACCCAGGCACCGGGCCGGATCTGGCAAACTCTGTGGGAAAGAAAAGAGGATAAAAAGCGCCTTTAACTAACCATGGACAGGGAGATTGGCAGACGGATGACAGGGAAGACAAGAGAGGCTGGGGGAGAGGAGGACCGAGCTTCTAAGGAGTCATGTCTCTCTCCCTTCAGCTTCTTTGTCTGCCCTTCAAAATTCGTGTCATCAAAACACCATTAATTCCAGCATCCTGACAGCAAGGAAACTGTACTAATTCGACCTGAAATTTATTCCCATGAGCTGTGCTGGGCTTCAGAGTATTTGTTTTGTGAATGGACAAACAACTTGCAAAGGAGGAGGGAGTGGGGGAGAGAAAAAAGTTTTTCCTCTCAACACAATAAAATCTTCAGCTGTGAAACTCTTTTCAGTTCCGAAAGCTATTTATATTTTAGATCGCTGAAGGAATTTTCTAATTTCACGCCTGTCACCTCATTCCCCAAGCATTTATCAAAAAATATTCCCTGCCACATCATTAATTATTCCTTCACTGATTATTTGCATTATCTCATGAGTTCATTATTGCCAACCCACACACAGACACACAAACACACACACCGGCAGCAGAGGCTGCCAATCCAGTGCTTGGCTCTTCAGTAAAAGAGTATTGCAGATATGAGAAGACCCATCTAAACAAATATCACTGCAAAAACTTAGGGAGTATTTGTATAAGTCCATCCTCCTAGGGTATTCTTTGCTCTTGACTTTTACTTCTATTCCACTCTCAAAAATTATTTTTCTCTTCCTCTACTCCAATTGAGTCTTAGGTCAAAGAGACACATGAATGCTATTTGCAATTTACAGTAGCGCCTTGGGTCCATGCTTAGTTTATGACTCTGGCTTCTACATCATTAAGAAGAAGGTAACTGCACAGGACTATAGGGAAATATACTAGTTAACAGTTAAGAATGTCAAGTTTTATTGTCCCTAAGCCCTGCTTATTACAAAATCAAAAGGTCTTGTTTAAGCCCCTATATACAGACAAAACACAGAGAAAATTCAAAAGCTGTACAGTTAGTATCCCTTGAATTCTCTCTGTGAAGTCAAACAAAGCAAGATAAACATTTAACATCAATCTACTATTTACCTCAAAAACAATTCAAATATCTGCTCAAAACAAATATGAAAAGGGATGTTTTCCTTTTGATTTTATTTTTCTCCAGGAATGAATTTAAGAAACTACAGGAAGTTGGCATCATATTTTCTTTTGAAATTAAATAAAATCTACCAGGATATTTGCATATATGTCTGGAAAATTCCTCCAAACAACTAGTAACTAGATAGCTTCAAGTGATGATTTATGAACAATAATAGGTATTCCTGTTCTTTAAAAATATTTTCCACCTAGGAAATGTCTAATGGGTTTTCATAAATTCCTTGCCCTACTTTAAGAAATAATGTTAACAAGTTAAGTTGAAGGGAATATAAAAACATTACATGAAATAAAACTTAAACCAATTTATTAAACTAATTATATAGAGTACAAATGTGAAATAACAAAAAAACCTTCTTATCCTGGAGTTTTCACAAAATAGTCTTATTTTAGAGATTTAAAAAAAAATAACTCAAATGGAAGGGGATAAACTATATAGAATGATAGCACCCTAAGTTTCTATTTACTTTGGAAAGAAAATTTATACCCATTTATAAATTAATTCCATCATATGTTTAGCCCAAATAATTAAAGTTTTAAAAGGGTAAAGTTCTAAAACTGTACAAATACATCATGAAAGCCATGTTAATAAAAGCTTAAATAGTCCATCCTTCATATCTTACAATAGCAATCATCTGTGATACCCTTGTATACAACAGCTGCTCAATCACACGTATAACTTCCTCATATTATGCTCCTATAGAAAGCAGCTCTTTGAGTCAGAGCCACAGTCACTCTTTTTGACAGCCTTGATGGTCAGACAGTCAGCTTAAATAAGCTTCCTATGTCTGACGACTTCATCCAAGGTTGGCAGATTATCACTGCTGCTCCCATATGACATATGCCTTATGCTGCATCATTTGAAGTACTGGAGTCTCTTCTGTCAGTAGGAACCCCACAAGCCAAGATGCAGCAGCTGTCAAGGTGTTCTGCTGAACCACACATGTTCAGTTCAACAGGACTGCCCTGTGATATATGGGTTGAATGCTTGAGAACTGGCCACACATTCCTGAATCTCATTATTGGGCATGCTCCCTAGAGCTGACATGATGCTGATAAAACCACTCAGGTATCTGGATCTGATACATATTTAGTCAGTCACACTTTATAGATCTCATTTTATGACACTCTGAATTTTCCAGGTTCCCAGAGGACACAGTGGCCTTTTAGATCTGATTTTAATTTTATAAATCAGAGAACGACAACTGCATCAGGTGCAACAAAGTGAAGAGATTAATTTTATTGCATAGCTTATAGAAATATTAAATACTATATATTCAACTTCACATTTAAATTTTCTCATTATTTTATGAATGTAATTTTTATCCTCTCGGGTAGACAGTAAAATTCTTAGGGGTAAGGACCATATCACAGAACATAGCAAAGTGTTCAAAATAGTAGATGTCCAACAAATACCTATACTTTACTTTACAGAAATAACAAGATCAATTAATTACACATATTCTTTACTGCCAATGAAACTCTTTGGATTGCAATAGTAAGGTGTCCTTAACATGAGTATCAATAAGTAGGCTTTAGGAATATATGAGCTTCCTAAAATTAGGTGCACAATGATTGAGGGGATGGGCTCTGGGGTTTTAAAAATTAGAGTTTGAGTTCCACTTACTAGCTCTATGGCTATGTGCAAACTACTTAATCTCCTAAAAAGTTCAATATCTTTATCTCAAAAATGAGGGTGGCAGTGTATTCCTTATACCGCTGCTGTGAGGGTTAAATGAAATAACATGTAAAGCAACTGGCAGAGTGCCTGGCATAACATAATTGATTATCATTATAATTAGATTTTTGTGGGAATATTCGCTTCCCTGTGAAGAAGGTGGGTATCTTTTACTGAATTCTCAGAGGGTGAGTGACCAAACAAATGTAAAGAAACACTGTTTTATATCCAGGACAAAACATTAGAAAAAAATTCAGCTACCATTCAGTTGTAAGTTAGTGGGTTGGTATTGAAATTTATAGGCAAATATTTAAGTGAGTCACTTAAAGAAGGCTGATATGACTAATTAATAGTGTATTAGCCACAGCACAGGAATTTTTACTCATATTATTTTAGAAAATCAATAAATATATTAAGCAGATCTCCTGTAATTTTGTGATTCAATATTTCCTTTAAAATATGATTGTTCCTGTAGAGTCAATTTTTTACATATATGAAAAATGTTAATAGCATAAAAAAGTGTGAATATTTTTAAATTTAAATTTGTATTTATCTTCAACTATGTAAAATACAATAACAGTAAAACACATGACAGTAAGCAATCGTTTCATAATGTTAACTGAGGCTGTTAAAGAAAGAAAGATTACAAGGGATTTTATTCTTTTCTACATTTTACAAACATTAAAAATGAGTACAGACCACTTTTATAATCAGAGAAAAGGAAATAGAAGAACACATACATCCCCAATTATTCAGTGCTATTTTCTCTAGCACCAAGAGCTATAACCTGTTCAATATTTAGCATTACAGGCAATTGGGATTGATTTGCACACCCATATTCTCAGAGGCTGCTTAATAGAGAGGAGAACAACTACACATGGGAAGGGTACAAGAAGCCCCCAGTCCATTGAGACATATAAAATTGGCTTCATGAACACACAGAAGCTTTCCTTTAGAATCATGAATAAAAAGGAGTATATGTCTCTACTAGTGGCCAAGTAGAACCAATGGAGGTATGGGGGGCAGTGAAGAAGCCTCTTTCTGGACTTGTCTCTGCATTCCAAGGTCTGTACTAGGTTTTCAGTCTCTAAGAGGTTTAAGCCAGTGCCAGAGTTCCCCAAGGCTGGAGTTCTGCAGAGTGGCGCCAGCCTCACAAGAATATCAAGGTGCTTGTTCCACTTCATAGAGAACCAAATCCTACCTTTGACTATCTTATGTTATCTGGGGACTGAATCAAGGTTCCCCTGAGGCTGGCAAGAAAGCTTCCTCTTGAAAAACTCGTTTGGGTTACTGGAGCCTCTGGCCAGGACCAAGCCATCCTTTAGAGAGCGTGGCTCACCCAGTTCCTTTCCACTGCCCTTAATCATAGCACGGTCTCTCAAGCGTTGAAACTGCTATCAGAGCCTGACTCTCAAAGCTAATTTGCAAATATGAAAAATATTTTCATGAAATAAATATTTCATTAAAAAATTAAAGGGAGGTATACAAAATTATAGGAAAGAAGTCATACTGTTAAGTGAAGGTATAAACAGGGAAAGAAAATCACACACAAAAAACCTCTCACTTTTACTTAACAAATATCCAACATTTTTTCACATTCTCATAATACACACTTAAATTTATGAGGTGTAACAATATTTTTAAATCAATATTAATTTATCAAAAATATCCAACAGGTTTACAGTTCTAATAACCTTCATATTTTACTGAAATAAAAATTACCAAAGTAGAAAATAGAGGAATTCAACTAATTTCAAAGTGTTTTCTAGACTTCTTGAAGGCTTTTCTTAAAATGAACTACCACTTAGAGAGGGGAGGAAAAAATGTTTAAATAAACTTTAAAATTACTTGGTACATTCACATTTCACTGAGGAAAACAAAATAAACATTTGATAAAGAACACAGAACGCTAATTAAAAAAACAAGCATAGAACCCTAATTAGAAAAAATGGGAGAGTCACAGTTAGAAGAGGCTTTGAGGAGTCAAAATGACTGCCTCATAGCCAGAGAGCAGTATTGTAGTTTTTCAGAGTTCAAGGCCTTGAGAGAGTAAAGAAAAGTGAATTAAACTCGGAAAGGTTAAACCTTAAGTGACTATAGATGAAGTTGGCTGGTGGGGACCTGGAAAGGCTTGCCTTATGTGTCTCCTTTTTTCCCCTCCTCTTG